ATTGTATAGAAAACTTTACTACAGCTTGTTGCACATAGCAAATGTGCAATAAATATTGTGGGTGCATATGTGTTTGTGTAAGTGTTTTGTTTGGTTTTGTTTTTCTTATCTCCTCTAATCCCTATTATTTGAATACTTTAGCTTGGTCACCATAATAAGGAAAATCTGATGATGTAATATCCAATTCTCTCTCCAACACACACACACACACACACACAGAGACAGACGCACAAACATATACACAGTAATTTCTTCAATAAAATTCTGTCCAAAGTTTTCATGGATTAGTCAAGCAAAATATTCTCACTTCTTGTGAATTGAAAAATCAAGTCTACTTGCTTAGATTTTCACATTTAACATTAACATTCATGTATAAAAACTTGCTATATATCATGCTTATCATTTAATACACATAAAATATATTAAAAAACTGGTACTTGCCAGGCATGAAATGTTACAAAAATATTTTCATTAGACAAGAAATACTGAATGCCTGTTTATAACAGTGTAATATGAAAAACAAACAAACAAACTTACTGCCATTGAGGCGATTCTGACTCATAACTACTCTCATTGGGTTTCTGAGGCTCTAAGTCTTTACGGAATTAGATCACCCCATCTTCCTTCTGAGGAGCAGCTGGTGGATTAAAACCACTGACCTCCTGGTTAACAGGCATGTCTTATCCACTATGCCATCAACCAAAATTTTATCAAGTATATATGTGAAATAATTTCTGTAGTCAAAATGAAGGTTCAACATTGTATTCTGAAATTAAAGGAAAATTTTGAGACCTAAAATTAAATAGTTTAGAGTAAGAACAAAGAGAAGATATGCCAACTCATTTCTCAAAATTTTGAGTAATACTTATATTTTCTCTTTTATTTCCTAGTTTTATTTGTGCTATGATTCCCATTATTTTTTGTGCTGTATTACTCTTGTCCATTCATTTTGCCATTCTCAGATCTTCTCTTTTTTTAATCTGCAATTTCTCCTCCTCATTCTCATACTTAGCTGGCAATCATAGCTGTAACATCAGTAAGTATATTATTAACATATTAAATAACTTCCTTAAGCTGCCTTTACCACATGTACCCACTTAACTTCATTTCCTCTCTTGTTACTATAGCCTGTTACTATAGTTACTATTGTTTTCAAACCTCCCTATGCATTATAATCTTCTAAGGATCTTTGAAAAATACTCTGGTCTTGTAACAGAGCAATTAAACCAGAATCTGTATTGACAGAACCTAGATATTGGAAAAATAATAATAAAAAAATTATTACCAGATCATCTTAGCTTAGGTTCTAGGTAGATCTGACAACATCTGCTATACATGGTCTAAGCTAAAACCAAACTCTCCTCTTGGGCATCAGATCTCATCCTCTTCTTCACCCTTAATGATTTTGCTCAAGCAAATCACCAAAATTAATAACATCTGTATTGCTAATGCCTTCCCCCATTCCTGACTAAGCAGCAGCACTGTGCATAGTTGATCATTCTCTCCTTCTTGACAATAGTATCCATCCATCCACACTGCAAGTTGATTCCAACTCACAGCCACCCTATAGTGCAGGGTAAAACAGTCCATAGGGTTTCCAAGACTGCAATTTTTATGGAAGCAGACTATCACACCTTTCTCCTATGTGTCTGGTGGGTTCAAACCACTGACCTTTTGATTAGCAGCCAAGTACTTAACCACTGTACCACCAGGGCTTCTTCAAAGACAGCACACTCTTCTCATGTTCCTCCTTCATCCCTGGTAGTTTCTGGCTGTTTTCCTCATTTCCCTGAACTTTTAATATTGGTATTCTTCAGGACTCATCTGGAAATTTCTTAAAATTTTTCTAACTCATTACCCAAGTCTTTGGGCTTTTGATATGATCTGTATATACAGTTACCACAAGTCTCAAATTTATATCTAAAATAAACAAAATAGTCTGTTGCTTATCCCCATCTTTACCCCTAAATTTACTTCTCATAGATGCATCCATAACTCAGTTAATGGCATTTCATTCTTCTAATTGTTCAGCCACAAAACTTGATCCTATTGAATATCTCTTTCACTCCCTGTGGTAGATGGAAATTTGGTCTCCATGGTGTTTGTTTCTGGTGTTATGTTTGTGAATACATTATGTTACCCAACAAAAAGTGAATTGCATTGCACATGCAGGCAGTCTCAAAACCCCAAACAGCAAAAAGACTGCTAGGAATGAAGACTTCATACAGTGACATCAACACTCCATGGTTGTTATGTTCATCCAGTATAATTAAGCCATACATAAGAGACATATAAACAGTGTTGATAAAACAAGTCATTATTTTTATTTACAGAAAGCAAAAGGTAAACAATAAGAACAGATTACGTATGGGTGAACCAGTTCTGCCCACCAACATGACCCACTATATAGGAGAGGGATATCCTTATATTTCACAGGGGACCTTTTTAACCTTCCCCAAAAATTGATGTCCAGTCTTATGTCATTGGGCGAGTATGCTGTGAATCACATGTCAGCAGGTGCTGAAGTTCATGTATTGGTGCTGCATGTTGCCTAGGTTTCATACAGTTCCTGTCAGTCTTTGTTCTGCTTGTGGGCCTGATTTTACTGGTCTGTCCTGCTTCAGAAAGACCCCTGCACAGGTTGCTACAAGCAACTGCAAGAAATCTCTGCTCAAAATTGGCCCCTCTTGGCCTTTGGAATTACAGTTAAAAGTCAAACAAAATCCTAAATTGCTTTTAAATGACATGCTACAAATCTTAGCATAAATAACCCCACAGATGTGTGTAGTTTGAAAAGGTATTTATGAGTAGGAGGGGAGATGTTGTATTGTGGTAAATTATGGTCAATGTCATGAGACAAAGTGTATGTGAACTACTGTATGGAAAGTATAATTGCTCTGCAAATTTTCACCAAATCACAATTTAAAAAAAAAAAAAATTAAAGGTAAATTTACAAATATAAAAAAAAATGCAAGAGGAAAAAGAGAATAGTCAGAGAGATGCAAGGATGAAAGAAGAGGCTGGATAAATTTGAAGCATAAGAGAGTCTTAGCCTACAGTTGCTAACTTTGAAGATAGAGGAAGGGGGTCATGAGCCTGTGATGTAGAACATCTCTAGAAGATGAAAAAAGAAAATGGATTCTTCTCTAGAGCCTAGAATGTAATGTAGCCTATTGACACCTTAATTTTAGCCCAGTGAAACCCATAGTGAACTTCTAACTTAAAGACCTGTAAGATTAAAAAAAAAATGTTATTTTAAACCACTACGTTTTAAACCATATCAGCAGCAGTATAAAAGTAACACACTCTCTACAGCCAATTCATCAGGATTATATATTTCTTACAACTGTATGTTTCTTGCAATTCTCTAGTCAATTTTGAAAACAAAAATTAGCCTGATCCTGCTAACTCATAAATGATATCAAGTTTCTCTTTTACTCAAAACCCTCTAATGGCTTCAGAACTCACTCACCAAAACAGCCAAAGCCCTTTCCATGACTCTCTCAGGCTCTACATGATCTAGCTGCTTATTTTCTCCAACCTCATCTCTTTCTACTCCTCTCATAATATTCATTCTGTTCCACTACAAGGGTTGCCTGTATGTTCCTCTAACATCTTGCTGCTTACTCTCCAGAGAGCTGTATGTTAAACTCCCCGCTTCCCTTAGGAGGCCTTCTTCTCAACATTTATTACCTATCTTACCATTTGTGGTCACTCACAAGAGACAGATGGACACCATAGCTGTCTAGCACATAATGAAAACCCAATAAATATATAATTAATGAATCCATTTTTTATGGACTATGACTCTTGGGTTTGTTATTTTATTCCTATTCTCATTGCAACTATCCCAGTCCAGATCTCTATATATACAACAAAATTATGCCAATAAGTTCCTGGTATCTTTACTTCTAGTTCTTATTCTCACTCTTCAACTCATTTTACAGCTAAATCTCCTTGATTAATCTTTGCTAAAAACAATTTACAGCACATTACTTTCCTTCTTAGGAAACAACAGCATCTGCCACTGCATTCTGCTTTGAGATTGGATCTTGAAGTGTCTTCTTCTACTTAAAATCAGTTTAGCTGCCACTATCCTTGATTTGCACTCCCGTCATAGATTCTCATATTGAGCACTTCATTTCTGTGCAACAGCTTACCTAAGATGTTGGCCATGTGTACACTAATTCTACCAGAATTCACTTTTCTTCCTTTATCTCTCGCTATCTTATTTCTAATCCCCTCTACCCCCAATCTCTACTTACAGCCACTCAGAAGGAATATTGGGCAATTTACTTCTGTAGTGGTACCACCTCAGAAACCCAAGAAGGGGTTGCTATGAGTCAGAGCTGACTTGACAGCAGTGAGTCTGGTTTTTGGTTTGGTCTCTACTTAGAATGGATGTTTTTGAAGGAAGGGTTTATATTTCTTCCTGCTCTTTGATAAGCAAAATGTCAGCACTGGTCCATGACTATAGCAAATGCTCAGAAGTTATTAATATGGTTTGCATGACTTATATGTTTGCCAAAACATTATAATAACAATAGTTGTTACTTTCAATTTCTTTTAAACCCTGATGTAGGTCTTATTTTACACTGTAGATTTTTTTACCCATCATCTCTAATCTTTTGAGGAACAATGGACTTTATTAATATGCAAATATATATATATTTCCCTTTCATTAATGTGAAATCAAAAGAGAGTATAAATTTAAAGGGCTGCATTCTAATTTAGGTTTTCTCTGATAACTATTGGCTTGAAACCCTATGAAGCCGTGCTACTCTGCACACAAGGCACTGTGAGTTGGAATCAATTGCATGGGAGTAGCAACAACGACAATTGGGACTTTTAGCAATGTTCATTGTTTCTTAAATATTTCAGATAGTTAAAAGAAAACAACTTTCAGTATTTAAAAGAAATTTTATCACCCACTTCCCTACCAAAAAAGAACAAAAACATAGAAAACAACTCATGAAACTTTCTACATTTTTGTTAAGTACCTTCTTTGTCATTGTGATGGATAATTGCATCCTGTATCATGTCAGCAAGGTTAAAATGAACTTTCTGATTCTTTCCATGCTTCAGCTTTTTCAGGAATCCGTCCTGCTTCTGCAAAGCCTTCTCCCGTTCATAGTAGGCTTTGATTTGTTCACAGCGCATGCGTTTCACCAGCCGCTGCCGTTGGCCTAGGGGAAGGGACTCCAGCAAGCACTGGTCAATTTCCATTTCATGCGATCGAAAAACATTACATAGCTGAAAGCAACCTAGAAGAAAAAGAATAGGAAATGTCATTACATCTTTTATTACAACCAATATTATATAGCACTAGAAATCATACTTGATTTTGGATTACCTATCACCTGAGATTTATTGCCTCAGAAACCCAAAGGGGGTCTCTATGAATAGGAATCCACTCAATGACAGTGAGTTTGCTTTTTTGGTTTTATTACCCCAGATATAAAATGATTTAGTTCTCTGCGTGTCCATTTTATAGACTGGGGAAAGCAAAGAGAGTTGGTTGCCTATGAATGATAGAATTTGATATGTAGTATGATAGAATTTGATATGTAGTATTGCTCATTGCGGGAGCTCTGGTAGCATAGTGGCTAAGACACTTGCCTGCTAACCAGACGGCTGGCGGTTCAAACCCACCAGCCACTCCTCGGAAGGAAGGTTGGGCAATCCTACTTCCGTAGTGATACTGCCTCGGAAACCCAAGGAGGGGTCGCTATGAGTCAGGGCTTACTCGACGGCACATAACAACAACAACAACATTGCTCATTGCAATTATAAACAACACATCCTTTCATATTTCTTTAAATCCATATACAAGACTGAATGTTCCAGCAATGAATCAAGCTTCTTCCTATAACTGAAAAATGCTGAGTAAACTTTATGTGTTGAATTTGGCAGAAAGCCATTCCTGTCTTAGAGAAGACTTTAATGAAATTGGTTTCGCATATCATGATGACTCTGCTGATCTAATGTAACAAAACATACATATTTCAATTGTTTGTAGGAGACAGTGATTAATTTCTACCAATTTATTGCTGAACCCTTCATGATCAGTGACATGCATTTCTAAGAGATCTACTCCATATGAAAAAAAAAGTAAAATTTATTTTTTTTCTGTCTCAGCAAATGAAAATTATGGCTAGCAATTGTACATTTGTGGTCTTTGTCTTATTAATATATTGATTAACAGATTTGAATTCTCTGGCCTTGAATTGAAAATTCACTTTTTTAAAGATGTCAATGCGTATAAACTCTACTCAGAACATCTGTAATGGAATTTTTACAAACTTTTATATTTACCATTAAGTTTAAATTTTCACATTTTCAGAAAAAGGTTAAATCATTGAAATTTCTAGCATTTAGTCCACAAATACAGATTCAGTTAAGTGTCATATGTTCTTTGCCTCAGATGCTTACAAGTTCCCTGTAAGTAATAAGTAATTCTGCATGCATAAAAATATGGCTGACCATATGCCATGTCTGGGTAGATCATAGAGTGAAAGTCTACTTCATCTTTGAAAGGTTTGCTATTCCTTTGAAAGGACAACAACTCATAACAAGGCTATTTCCATTTCTAATGCACTTGACACTTTCCAAAGCTTTATTTTTACAATCATCTGATGCACAGGTATGGCCAAACCTGATTTACAAATAAAGGAAATTAAGTTGAGAGAAGTTGCAACTTTCTAAGATCAAAGTCATGATTGTATGACAGAGTCAAAGATACTCCACAAAGGAATGAACAAACTAAAATGACTGTGATTTTTTAAGCTAGATATTTAATATATAAATGCTTTTATATAAAAGGAAAAATGGAAGATAAGCAGTGTTTGTGACTTTTGTTTTGGTTACCCGCTTGCATCTGACAAAAGTATACATTCTAGAATTGTATTTTTACAATAAAATTATTCATAAGTATTTGTAAATGCGATGTTTGTTGTTGTTGTTTGTTGTTATTTGTCATCGAGCCGGCCCCAACTCATAGCGACCCCTCCTTGGGTTTCCGAGGCAGTATCACTACGGAAGTAGGATTGCCCAACCTTCCTTCCGAGGAGTGGCTGGTGGGTTTGAACCACCAGCCTTCTGGTTAGCAGTCAAGTGCCTTAGGCACTATGTTAGACATATTAAATAGCTTCACAAAAAGTATTCCTCTTCCATTGACTTAAACACAAAGAGACATCAGTGGTTCTGAAATAATGACAAATTGCTATGGAGTATGTTCATTTGATAAAGGTCTTGATCATTGCCACAAACAGACTGTCTGAGAAAGCTAATTAATAATGAACAGGAAATATCTTCTGCTTTCAAATTTGTTTAGAAAGTTACATTATATTTGATTTATTAACTTTAATGCTTAGGACACTTTGACTCCCTTGACTTTCTGACTTGTCCATAGATGCCCAGGGAATCATCAAGGCTATTGAAAATTTGAAAGAAGTAAAAGAAAAGAAAAAAAAAAAAAGTGGAGTGTCATGTGGTAATTAGTATGCAGTTGAAGGCTGAGAATAATCTAATAAACATAACAGTCCTCTTGTTTGTAACTCTTGAGAAAGATCTCTTGTTGAAATTTTCAATTAACTCTCAAGGAGTCTGCTGTGACAGGTAATGATTCATTGAGCAATTCTTCTGTGGCTGCCAAATGAGGAGGACTAAGGGTTGTTTATAAATTAATTTCCTTATTTCCTTTTATGATTTGGAAAATGAAAAGGCAAAGGCTGTTAAAATTCAAATCCATACATGGACCAACTAATCAATGATAGTGATCAACACAAGCCTAACCCACCTTCAACTGCTCTATAGGAGCAGCGAACAGAGAATTGTGCACTCTCTCATCCTCTGTCATCACTAGGAGACAGGTGGTGAGCACCTAAGTGCTGCTGAACTATCAAACAAAATAGCATATCAGTCCTGCTTGCTCAAATAAAGCAAAACAAAATGAAGCAAAAAAAAAAAAAAAAAAAAAGCCTGAGTGAAACATCAACATACTATTGCCAACTAAATACAAATACAACAAAATCACAATGTGTCAGAGTCAACTGACAACATCAGATTAGATAAAGAAACAAGATAAAGTAGTACAAAAAAACAATTGATCAAAATACAGAGCCAGAAAACTTCTGTGAGGAAGAAATGACATTAGAACTACCTGATAAGTAATTCAAAATAATTATATTTTGGGACCTTCAATGATTGGGAGAAAGATCAAGGAAAACACTGACAAAATCAAGGAACAAAAAGACAAAACTCTAACTGGAGGGTAGACACATATTAACTCTAGTGAAGGAGAATGCAATATGTAGTAAGGGGGAGGTTAGCACAAAATGATCAAGGCAAAGGAAGACACTTGGAGGAGCACAAGAGTTAAAGGCAACAAAGGTAAATACTGTAACCTACACAAGCCTGAAATAACAGTAATAACAATAATCTATGAGCAAAGATAGACACACAAGCTGAACATGTATGGGAAGGGAAATGGGACTACATCCACATATATATATATATAGGTTTGACAGAGGATATTTCTACCTATGCATTTACATATACTGCAGATATATGCTTACATACAGTAGAGGAAAAAAAAATGAAATGTGTTTTCTTGTTAAACAATTCTTCGTGCTTTGATTTTATGTCTAAAAGTTAATTTATCTTATGTTCTGAAAAGTTATTTGGATTGTGATTTTTCTTTCGTTTATTATAGATGAACCCACTGTGTCATGTATATGTGCCTCTGTAATCCTGTAATATACACTAAACATAACAGAAGTGTGGGAAAAAATAGTTTTAAAGCAGCCTATTTAAAACCTATGGAATTTTGTCACCAGGGCACTGATACTTACAGTAATTTAGGAGATAACCTGAATAGCCCAGACAGAATGTTAAAGTTAAGGTGGCCACAAGAGCAAGTCTATGAGCTTGGAGCTATGCAGGTTGTGTTCACCTCACTGGGAAGGAAGTCCTGAGCACAGGCATTTTTCATTGTTTTTTGATAGAGTTAAAGGGTGCTGCCTGTCCAGAGTCCAAACTGTGAGAACTTTCTTTTACTAATGATTATAGTTCTACATTACTCTTGTGGTTCTTTTGCCTAGAAAAATAAATCACATATTAATTTATAGAATCTTGACATTAGTTGGACCTCAATCCCACAATAATCTATGAATTAATTGGTATTATTAAAGTACATGTTGTAGTAAAACAGACCATATTTCTATTGTTATGACATATTGACTTAGCTGTCCATGAAGCCTGTTTCCTCAGATACTTTTCATTTTTCAGCTTCCTAGGTATGGCTCATAAAAACAAACCATATGTATTTTACCATATTGTTTCTCCTTCTGCCAGTTTAATGTTGATAGGTGGATGCAGTAGGAAGCCATATACAATTATGGCCACACTATGGATGGAATCTTTATTCTTCAATCACTGCTTGGTGAGTAGCTGACTGTCCATCAGTCCTTATTTTATCTGAGCAGGAAATTAACTTCCACTGTCTATAGCCACTGATTTTTGAGTTTCATCTGTTACAACACTTAACATTATCCTTCCTATAGGGAATTCACCATGTATCAGAATCAACCTCAATGGAAACTGGTTTGATTTGGTTTTAATTATAGGGTCCACTCCTTGTCTGTCAGTTTGTTTTACTGACATGACTTGCTGGCTTTGATGTTGGAAGCTATTCCACTGGAATTCAAAATAAAAGTGAGGTCACACATGATGGACGGGTGTCAGCAGAGCTTCTAGACCAAGACAGACTATGAAGAAATGTCTGGCAATTGACAAACAAAATTCAGTCACTGAAAACCCTATGGATCACAACTGTACGTTGTTCAAATTACTGGTTTTGGACACATTATCAAGAGGGATCATTTGCTAGAGGAGGACATCATATTTGGTGAAGTGGAGTGCTGGTAAGCATAAGGGAGATCCTCAAGGAGATGGATTGGTACAAAAGCTGCAACGATGGGCTCAAACATGTTAGCAATTATTGTGAGGATGATGCAGTACTAGACAGCACTCCCAATGATATTGGGCAAAGGATTCAACACCTTTGAGTCTTCCTTTTAATATGTAAAAAGAATATAATATTTGAAGTTCACTGGGATACTCTCAAAATGAGAGACAGCTTAAAGAAAATGTCTGGCACAAAGACAATAATAAATGATAGGTATTAGGAATGCCTGGGTGGTGTACATGATTGCCAGACTCACTGCTAATCAAAAAATTGAAAGTTCAAGCCCACTCGGAATCA